GAGGGTACATTTTCCGATATTTTATATATATTTCATGAAGAAAACATGTCACAAAAGGACTATATCAAATGGAATAATTTTAGTGGAGCTTCGTATAATATGATCTTGAATGTTAGGTGTTGTTAAAAGAGATTTTTTTCCACGAAGGACATCATTGTCCTCGGAGTAACGCGAAAAAGCTTTTCCACAGTGAATCCATCTTATTTTCGTCTTGCTTTAGCTAGACGAGTTGGTTTCTTACTAAGTTTAAGCTCATTTGTTATATTGTACAAAAATATGTTCGGATTTTCTTAAATTTGGTTATTGGCTGTACTTATAAGAGACTTAGTATGGAAGTTGTGTTTTTAAGAGCTGTGGATTTTTGTATAAAATAAATAAATGCTTTTGCAAATAGTAAAGATAGATAGTTTTTTTTTATGCAATATAAAATGGCTAACAAGCTGACGGCCCATCTGATGGAAAGTGGTAACCGTTGCCTGTAAACATGAGCAAGTAACATGGATATAACAGAGTATACTGTTTCGCCCATGATACCCCCCATGCACTGCTATTCCTGAGGACTCAGGTATTATTACTGTATTGTATTACATACATACGGTACTGTATTGTACTTGTATTATCGTATGATATCATTGGTTCATAAGAATCCAGCGACCGCATTGCCAGCTTATCATTCTATCAGATCGACTGCTTTGCACTAAGGAAGACCGAGCAATCATCGTGTATAAAGTACCTGGAGAATTCTTCACGATGGGTTCCTGACTTGACTTTATCAGTCACTGGTACCCCACTAGCGCGTACCAATAGTGAAGGCGAAGTGCTTATTATATTTTCTGCCATATAAAAAATATTTTTGCTAACAAAATACAATATATTCATTGATATATTAGAATTAGATAAGACGATGGTACGAATGTAATTGGTCATTTGAACAGAATTATTTTGTTTAATTCCGTTACCAATTGTGACTGCCAACATTCGAAGATTGAACACCACTATTACTACCAGAAGTTTCACAGTCTTCCATATTAATCATCAACAGAGGGAAACTTTGTACAAAAGTTGATTGCTTGGGTACTTCTGTCCCATTCGTGTTTTAACCGTGAAGCAGTAGTGTTTGCATGGCTGTGTTTCGGTTTGAAGTGTGGGATATGGCGTGAATTTACTGGGTACAGAGGAATAACACCTGAGTCCTCAGGAATGGCAACAGTACACTCAGTTATGTCCATGATACTGCTCATGTCTATAGGCGACGGTTACCACTTTCCATAAGGTGGGCCGTCAGCTTGTTTGCCATTCTAAGTTGTATAAAATAAAATCATCAATCTCCTACTGCTATTTCGCTCACGCACATTTTGCAGCACGTCTTTCACATCAAAACGAGGTATTTTTAGGCAAATTATTAAATCGCTGTTCGGAGCCTAGTATTTATTCAAATTAAGTATACCAGTAGAAGCATTCTATATAAAAATATTTACTTCGAGTCACTGACTCCCCTTTCGAATCTCAAACGATTGTTCACAACTCGTTATATTTTATTACGGTACTGTTAAACCCTTATACTCGTACTAGTTCTTTAAACTCCCATTTCGTTTGTCGTAAATCTGAAGGCAGTTTTTGTGTAGGATTTAATAAGGAATTCTATGGAATATTTACTATTGGCCTCGTGAATATCTTAAGGAAAGATAGAACGAAATGTATGTAGTAACATCGTATTCACACGATGGCGCCCTCTCGGGAACGAAATAAATCAAAATAATTTATTCATAATACCAATTCTTTTGCCATTTATAAAGTTTACTACCGTGGTGGATCACATTTTTTTTTGTATTAAAAAAAACTGTATGAAGCAAATTTTACACTTACATACATAAACACGCCATTTTGAATTCTAAGTTCAAATAATTGCAATGTTGTGAATCTATGAAGTATCAGTGAGTGTGTAATTGAAATCATGTAAGTGAGTTACGCATTTAGGGCCTACTGAAAATCAATGTCGTGGCTTCCGATATGAAACTGTGACATACTCGTATGCTAAGTTAGGTCCTTTGCACAAAGACTGCTTCAATCATCTTATGTTTTTTTTCTTCATTTTATATAATTTTAAAACTTAAATTTAAATCCCTTCCTTATCAGATCACAATAAACAGTACCTATTTATTTATATAATTATTTATGTTTTTAATTCACTGTGAATGGATAATAATCATTTTCACTGTCATTTAGATATTTCTAACATTTTATGAGTAAGTTTTGTATGTACAATAAATAAAATTAAAATTTTATACAATTCTATAATACCATTAATATATAAAAGATGTAAATAGAAAATCAGACCTACAGCACACCCTCAAAGTCCAATTAGAATCGTTACGGCACGACGCTTGTAAATTGACCGCAAATTAATATCCGTGAATTTGTGAAAGTGAAAATCACTTTGCCGGGCCAAAGTCGATCATTGCCGAGCCAAATTGCTCTACAATTCTATTGTTTTCGCCCCTCGCGTCCGTTCCACATTTATTGCAATTTGTTAAAAGGGTTACTCTCTCTTAGGCATGGGATATTTCACGAGTAGCACTTGAAATTGTATATGAGATGCAAATTCATACGTCACTCTTGTTATTTTCCTTCATAATGACTGCTACAAATATTGTTAGATTAGAGAAAACTCACAAATTTTGACAGCGTTCAGATTTCATTAAAAAAGACGTAATGAGCAAGCGAACAGAATAAATCACAAAAATTATAATTATTTATACTTCACTTTTTATAACAAATCACTGTTTGTTATTGAAAGTGTTCATTCAATCGTTATATTAGGTTATTTGTAAGTGAAAATCACTAATAAATTTCACAGTGTTAATAACTGTGATAATTAAAAAATAATTTAACCAAATAATAACAAGTTAAAAGTAGCAAATATTACCATGTTTAGTTTCGTGTGATCTCGGATTGTAGCAGGTGTCTAATATCTTGTACCGAGTCCCTTTTATCTGTTTCCGAAAGGGCCCCAAGAGATTTAAGGGCCAGTACGTAAATTGCGATGTCATTTTGTTTAAATGTTTAATAGAGGCCCGCCGTTTGAAAGTATCGGTTTCAAAAGCTGATGCGGCTTTTATGAATATTGCCATTTGAAGAGTAATCTTGTACTGATGAGATTTGTCACTGGGAGTTTCTATGCAAACTTTCATCCTTTATTCAATCGATTTGGAGGATGACTTTTCAAAAGTCCATTTTCTGGCTTCAGTTACTTTGAATGAGGAAGTCCTGTGTACAAATTTGTCGCTACTTGACAAAATTACCAATTCACATTTTCCGCTCTAAATACTACGTGTACGACCAAATTTTATGATGATTGGTTAAGCCATTAAGTCAAAGGATAGCACTAATTAATTTACTATCAAACTTGTAATGTTAGTAAAAATTCAAAATTGAGTTTCTTTGTTACTTTTTAAAATGTTAGTATTTGAAATACGGCATATATATAGTTTTTGTAATTGAAAAGTTCTTAGGATATTTTTTTTTAATGGGTAAAAATGGAATGGTAACCTTGCCCGCGCTAAAGGTATAAGCCTGCGGGGCACCAGTAAGGGATGATAGGTGATGATAAAAAGGCAGGTCAGTTAGCCCATCGTAATGAATATGCCTGGAATTCAACATGTTGGTATCCACGGGGGATCACGTGGAGGCCGACTTAGTTAGGTATATTGCTGGCAATGAAGTTTTTAGTCTCTATTACTAACGATCCCTTCCCCCCTGATGTAGGCTACTTATCGTGGTCAATTAATATGCTACTGACAAAACCCCTAAGGGGGTGGTTTATGTTTAACTATGGACTGTTAAAGACTAATATTTTATAATGATATGTTCTGAAGTATGACGTTCATATATATGACGTCATAAGTGTGACGTCAAAAGGATTTCATAAGTATGACGTCAAGTTTGCCGTGTGGTCCCGGCATAGAATACACCACCCCTTCCTTTCCCGTGGGTATCTTAAGGATCGACTAAGGAAGGGTGAGAGATGGGCAGAAGCGTTCCTCTTAAAACATCTCTAAAGCTTAACTGCGGTTGCAAACCCGCATGCCAAATACTGGACAAAACCCCCAAAGGGGGAAGCTTATGTTCAGCAGTGGACAGTAAAAATCTGATATGATGATGATGATGTCATAAGTATAATGTATAATGTCGTGGATATAAAACTAAATTAGCAAAATTCTAAGCGCTCGAATTCTATAAAGTTAACGTAGCGTAAGAATGAATCAAATTGTGAATGTTACTTGTATGTATCTAGAAGACGTGAGTGACATTACTATTGTTCGAAATAAAATGGCGTGAAAGTATGTAAATTATTATGTCTGTCTTGTATGCATTTGATTTGTTTAATTCAAAAAGGGATATACGCAGTTATATATACGTACTTGATATATATATGTAGATATGGGGGCTTGGTAAATATAAACTAATTTCTTAATAATTGAGAAATTAAAGTTGTGTTCCACAATCTACTGAACCGGTTTCAATAAAATTTCTATTGGACTTATCTGTAAGTATATCCTTTCAGATAAAAAAAAAACCATTTTCCAAATCGCTTTATAAGTGACGGTGTTATAAATAAAAAATACAACCGAACTAAGAACTTCCTTCTTTTTGAAGTCGGTTAAAAAAGTTTGGTTAAAATTAAGCTCTGAACCCCCATAAATTAAAATAATAATAAGAATATATGTACCTACTACTTATACATTTTTCTGTTTACTATAAAACCCTGTGGGACATAGTTATTTTTATCCGATCATGTAGTTTTAATTATTATTATAAATAGTTCATCAAAATAGGTTAACCTCCTCGTAGTTTATTATTACGTATTAAAAATAGAAAGACTCCTTGCAGCGTGTGACTGGCCGGCCGACTCTATTTGTCAGTTAAAAATACAATCTGTCAGGTCAATGACGTCCGACCTGTTATCCGATAAATAAAATAACAACCTTTATCAATCAACAATGGACTTGAACGAGGATAAGATTAAAGAGGAGGTCAGTAGCTTCGTCTCGAGCTTGCAGAGACTCCTTCCCAAGAAGAAAGAGTTGATTTACGTTGAACCTGTTAAAACTAAACTTACAAGACTGAACGAAGTCCACTCAGAAGCCAAAAGTGTCTTTCCTATGTGTTTTACTGGAGCTAGACTAATTATTCTGAGAGAAGTATTGGATAAAGTGAAGTTAGTTCAACAATATAACTATGGAAAGGCCAAGGAAACGTACAAATGCTTTACACATTTGCTGCATAAAGAGATGGAGCCAAAGAGTACTGATGAAGCGTTGTTACTGGATTCCGCTGGATCAGCAACGGCCACGTATTACGAAGACATCGATGGAGGGTACAAGATGCGGCTCACCTCCAAAATCAGGGATCTAATTTCTTCTGAGACTGAAATAATTTTGGATAAGGATAGCTCAAATTCTTGCTATTCTATCACGTGTTCAATGAAGGACGTTGACCCGAATACATTTAGAGTAGTGACGCAATGGATGTACAAGATAACTCCTGAATTCTGTGCGGGTACAGAAGTGTGCTTCGAGCCTTTAGCGTACCCTCCGACGCCCGACGTCGCCGTCAGCGCTCGATACGAAAGGCCATCTTTCACGTTGTCATCTACAATTAGCAGAGCTGGTTTCCAGGCGTGCATATTTAAGCAATTTGCACCCGATCTCCGAATAGCAACTATAGTGAACGAAGGAAACATAAGTGGTAAAACAACGGTCGCTGTTGCTCTCCATAAAAAGTACCAGAATGGGTCGGAATTGAAAATTTTCGTTGACTCCCAACAATGCGGGGGCTTTACATTTCAGAAGGATGTTCTATTTTACGAGCCGCATAATGAAACTCGCGTTTTGAGGCTCGTTGGAAGCACTCTAATAGATAGGCAGAGACGAGTGAAGTTCGGATTCGGATTTGACTTGGACTTCTGATGTTTACATCAGTTCTGAGTTTGTTTATCTCCCGAACAAATTGCCGGGCTCGTGTGACGCATTTTGAAGTTTTTTTTGTAGAAAGATTTGTTTGTATATAAGTATACATAGGTTTTAGTTATTGTTTTATCTTGTTATTAAATGTTCAGTTATCGTGTTTAGTATTTTGATAATAAACTATCATTTTGTTAATTTTTTGATTGTACTATGTACAAAATAGTATCCCAAATAAAAACACTCCAATGATACGCATAAACAAAAATGGTCTATTGACTACATTAGTCAACAGTCAAATTTAGTTAGAAACAAATTTTTAGTCGAAAGGATTATTTATTGACAAAAATTATTGTTTTTTAGTAACAATTATAATGATTATATAATTTTTTTCATTATTATGAAATAACATCTTAGTGAAAAGGTTATTGAGAGAGTTAAAAAAGCTTTTTATTTGACTTTAGAAATTTATGAGTTTGACCTTTAGCGACTTCACTTGCTTACTTTTAAATTTACTTTCTGCCTACACAAGATCTTTTTTCCGTCCAAAAAAATAAAGATTCTCCTCGGACAGTGGGAAAAAATATACAATTTATCACACAAAGTTGTGTAGTTGTCGCAAGCAGGGAAGATACAAGTTCTCCACAAAGTTGTCATCTTGTTATCTCCCTCATGGAGAAAAATAAACGGGACAAATTGCCCTTGTTGTGGAAACTTTTTGTTAAACAGCTACTTTTTACTGACCCAAATTGTGTTTGGAGTTGGCCGGCTAATAATATCCTAGCTTTGAATTGTTTTTGCAAGCTCGCCTATTACACCGGGGATATGGACATTACAAGCTGACATTTTAAGATTTAATTACGCAAAAAACATAGATTTTGTGACAAAATTTATTTATTTATTTATAGGAACGCCAACAGTATATTGCATTATAACACATATAATAAACATTAAATACAATACAATATTAATGCACATACCTTTTAAAGATATTCACAGCATTTGTTTTAATATAATTATACAGTATGAGAGAGAGAGACATAAAAAGCGGTTAGCTTATTTTTTAGAACAAAATCTTAATCAAACATTATAATATTATTATCGTTAAGAATATAGGTGTGTACATGATAAAAAATCTCATAAAGTCCTCGCTGGTTTTATGAGCTAAGTGGAGATCCTTGTAGATACTACATTTAACGGCGAGCTGTTCAAGATATTACGCCATTAAGAAAATTACAAGGTCCGTTACACACGGAAGACTTTGCAAGCTTATCCACTAGTCGTCTGCGGCGGTACTTACTCGTATACACGTCAGACCCGTGTCACTTCGCAAAAATAAACGTTTGTATGAATTCTATGCAACCAGTTCATTGAATTTGAAAATAGCAAACTAAAGTAGTTGGGTTTTGTATGATAAGTATCTATTTTGTTTTGGACAGTATTATATTATAAATAAATGATTATACCACACTATGAATATTTACTTTGTTGTGTACTTCTAGGTAGTTGCATAAATTTTTCGAGTTTCGTCAATGTGAAGGTAGTAGTGACTTTTTAATAACATAGCGATTACTTGCTTGTGTGTGGAGGATGTATACACACAACACACAGATATAGGGAAATCAGCTGCGGAAACTTACCAATACTTTTAATCAAAAGTTAACATTGTAACAAAGAAAGTATCTTAAACATAATACCAACTGGATTTTTCATTAAAACTTTCCATTAGAACTAAAATTATGTTGGATGCTAAATATTTAAAGTCAATTCTGTGGTCGGCACAGTATTGTGCCGGGAACTGTTAACGTGGAGTGGAAATACTAATTGTGAGTTTGAATGGCTTGGGTTTGACATTTGTTACAAACCATTTGAATTCCTTTCCTTTGTCTGCGGTGAAAAGAAAGGGAACAATTTGTACAATCATGCACGTTTAAAATAATCTAAGCAGTTTTTTTTTTATTTCTATGCAATTATTACGAGTATGTTATTATTCACCAGCTCGTATTCTCATTGGTCACGTGAATTATGACTGATCTCATTATATTGTACTTTGTACTATTCTAGAATTTTCAAACCGGATTCAAAAAGATGGAGGTTCTCGGTTATATTTTTTATGCTTGTTACCTTATAACTATGTAAGTTGTAAACTAATTTGGAAAATTTGTTTTTTTACCTGAAATGATATATTTACGGGTTGGTTACATAGAAATTTTATCAATATCAGTTGAGTAGTTTAGTTTTTAAATTAAAATAACTGTTTTTGGTACAACTGAAGTATTTTTTTTGTGAAACATAATTGTAATTATAGTATTTACAATCTATTACCGAATTAAATTTCATACACATTTTTTCAATCATTTAAAAATGAATTGATTATACGGTATAGTTAAATATATATGCATGAATAATATATTACTATATATAGGATCTTCATTTATAGAACCTACTATGTAATAGGTACTTACGTGTACGAGTATACTATTAGATACATAGATTATAAGTATAGTACGTTATACTAGGCATGGGTAATGTGGATACGGAAATGGAATGGTAACCCCGTCAGCGAAGAACCAGTGAAGGGTGATAGATGAGAATGAAAACAGACCAGTTAGCCCATCATGATGAATTCAACAGGAATTAACCATGATAGTTTCCAGGGGGAACCGCGAGGAGGTCGACCTGGTTGGGTATATTGCTAGCAATGGGATTCTTAGTCTCCATTACTAACAATCCCTGTCCCCCCTCTTCTAGATATTGATGGTGAATAAAATGATCATCACTCATTTCGGTCGGACATTTATTTTGGAATATGTTAAAAATCTAATATTATTTTTTGGATAACTAACTTTTTTATCATATTCGTTACTGGGCCAGTATATACATATTGTTACTAAAATATCTATATATTTTATAGATATTTTAGTCAATACATACATACATACCTGTCACGCCTGTCTCCCATTAGGGTAGGCAGAAACAATGGAACGCCAAATGCTTCGATTCAAACAAACCTCTTTCGCTTCTTCCACATTCATCAATCTTTTCATATACGCTCGCCGGTTTAGTCAATAATATATAGCAAAGTTTATATATTGCTATATATAATATATATGCTGTAACAAACCTAGGACTGCATCAACCTCTGGCCAGGATTAGTGCGTCATACAATGAAATTAATGCCAAATTACCAGAAATTGATATAGTGCATGATAGTTCAAATTCCTACAGGAATAAATTGCTGAAACACTTTGTACAATAATCTAATAAAAAGTAACTCTAATTATCATAATATATATTTATTTTTTAATATTTTTTAATTGAATTCAGTCATAATCGTATTTTTTGATATTGCTCACAACTTAGGTTACATGTTTATTTCTATAACTAATAACGCAACTTTTAAAATATTTGTAATCTAGTGTTATTTAATTCATTATAATTGTTACTTAATTTTCTCGCACTGCATAACTATGTTAAAGTAAATGCTGTGAATACCTATAATAGGCATGTGCATTAATATTTTATTATATTTAACGTTTGCTATACCTATATGTTATAATGCAATATTTATTTATTTATTTATTTATTCATTAGTACAAATATGTCTACATGGGGGACTTAATGCTAAAAGCATTCTCTCCCAGTCAACCATAGAGAAGTGTCAGAATACTCGAATGCGGTACTACTAATTATTGATATACATACATACTAAAATTACATATATAAACGAATAAATATATATGAATAACAAATATACTTACATATATATGACATATACTATGTTATACACGAAATTGAGAATAATATAAAGCACTTACTGTTGCACAATATAAGGTACAAGATGTTGTTGGTGTTCCTTAAATAAATAAATAAATATTACCCACCCGTACGTTATACCATGCCTATGATTACATATTACCTGTTCATCCATCCGTGCGGATGTCACGTGAATGTGACACACGTCACCTCACGTCTCGTGTAGTTAGTTCAGAACTCCTTGATATGAACTTCGGGTCGAAATCGAGAGCGATCAAATTATTTGTTTGCAGACATGTTACAAACTTATTGAATTCTCTGTCATTTATATGGGTAACAAACAAATAATCATATGCATATGAATGTACATACACACTCTTTATTATATATATATATATATATATATATATATATATATATATATATATATATATATATATATTGCACAATGGATATTTTATGAATTTATAATGTTTGTTGTTTCTGACAACTGTTTCGACCTCATCCGGAAGTACGCCGTACGTGATGTACGGCGTACTTCCGGATATTTGAGAAAAAGTCTGTTATCTATTATTTTTTTTAATAACAGACTTTTAACATATTGTACCAGTATATAGATATTGTAACAAAAATATATAAATATTACTATATATTATCCAACCCTAGTTCATAAAATACCTATTGTGCATGTATATAAACATTCAATAAAATATTTTTTTTTTGAGATATAAGATGACTAACTACGGTTGCCAACCCGCCTGCCAAGCGTGGCAACTACTGGCAAAACCTCCTCAGGGGGCATATGTTCAGCAGTGGACAATAAAAGGCTGGTATGATAATGAATATAAGATGACGTTTTATTTTGTCGCGGATTGAAGTTACATCAAGTATACTTACGCTGGCCTAGATAAAAACTCAACAGTTTCCCAACCACTTATATAGGTTATTGACCTAATTAAAAATAAAACTGTGTTCCATCAGAAAAAAACAGACTCCAAATTTTTTTTACAACACAGTGGGGAAATGAGCATGCGGCACACCTGATGGTAAGTGACTACCGCCGCCCATGATCACCCACAACACCAACGGCATTGCAGGTGTGCTGCCGGCTTTTTAAAAAGGAATATGCTCTTTTCTTGAAGGTTATGATATCGTATCGATTCGGAAATACTGCCGCTGGAAGTTGATTCCAAAGAGTGGTTGTGCGTGGTAGAAAGTGCCTTGAATAACGCACGGTGGAGGACCGCAACTCGTCCTGGTTGGGATGAAATTTTATACATGAAATACAGGAAAATCAGTTATTTTGGTTTCAAAACTATACTAATGAATCGATTTTCATAAAATTTCTATGGAACCGATCTGTAAGTAAGCTTTCAGATAAAAAAACCCCAATCCGTTCACAACTGACGGAATTATGACGGAAATACAATCAAATTGAACCT